TGGGGCCTGGGGTTTTAAATTAAGCCCTCACAAAACCACTTGTGCATCTATGTATTATTCACACTCGCTGCCAGACATCAACATCGGGGCATTGGTCTAGTGGTATGATACTCGCTTAGGGTGCGAGTGGTCGGCGGTTCGATTCCGCCATGCCCCCACTTCCGCGTTTTGAGTTTCTGTGTTTTACCCATGTAGTACAACCTTGCAGACGCTCACACAGCCGCCCAACATAAAAAGCTTTGCACCATGGTGGCTTGCTGTGTGTGTCATGGGGGAGATGCTGCGCCCGGCCCCCCCCTTGCAACCCTGTGGTTTTCAACCCTGAGCAACCCCCCCCTCTCAAGGTCCAACTTTTTGTTTTGGCTCTCTCTGCCCACGGCAAAGACAGTCCTGGAACTCTTGCTTTTGTCAGGCTCACCTGTCAGGTGCTGCTCGTCCATTTCCTTCCCAATGGCATTTGCAGGCCGTTTTGCCAGCTGCTTGTGTGAGATGTTACCGACGGTATTGCAGGCATGGATTTTTGATGGCAGGCACAGCATGAGAGTGTCCAGCACCCAATCTCGCCTGTTGCGGCCATCCCCTGGCACCGCCAGCAATTGCAAAGTGCTGTGCGCCCGGGCGGATGTGGCGGGCAACTGGATGTGTACGACATTGAGGGACTGTAACCACCGTAATCAGCGGCTTCGTCATCATGGCAAGTGCAAAGCAGGCAGGGTGTAAACCGTTGCGGCAAGAAAAAGCGCTGACAGTGGAACGGGCCCATCCGATCGCACCACCTTTGCTGGACAAGCAAGCCATACGGACAGAGCGCAGTCAGTCCATCCTGCGTGGTCAAAGTGTAGTGTGCGCCATGGCACAATGTGGCAAGCAGCCGTTCAGCAAGCTGTTGCGCCGTACTGCCTATGCGGGCGCAGCTGCTACAAGAAAAGCCATTGACGCAGCCCATAGTCAGACAGATGCCGCTAGGCCAATAAAATGGTCGGAGACGTGCGCCTACGGCTAGCTATGTTTGCGGCGCTCGCCACACACGATCCTCAATTGCCTGCAGCGACGAGCGCCGTCTGGTGCGTCACAGCAACCTGCATTTCAGGGCGAATGGGCAGCAGGGGTGGCGAAAACTGTCGGCAGGGTGTGGCACCGACGATGCTGCCCCACCCCTCGAGCCCTAGTGCAAGGTCAGAGGTATGCGGAGCAGGGCTACATACGGGCTGCTGCACTCACCCCTCTATGACATGCATGGGCGGCAGGATGGCCTTGGCGCCCGCGCTGCCGCTGCCCTCACGCTGCAGCGGCGGCGCTTTGGGCAGATGCAGCCCTGCACCGCCAAAGCGCATCAGCTCCTCCGGCGCCGGCTGCAGGGCAGCTGGCAGGCCGCGCACCGGCCCGGACACACCCGCCAACCGCGGCAACTGCATTGGGGGTGGCGGGGGCATCTGCTGCACCTGCTGCTGCTGCTGCTGCTGCTGCTGCTGCTGTGCCGCGGCGGCTGCTGCGCGGCTGCCGCCCACTGGCGAGGGCGCCACGGTTACGAGGTGCAGCGCCAGGTCAGCGCCCGCAGCACCGCCGCCGAGGGCGCCAGGCACGATGCCGCTGAGGTTGAGGGGGAACGCGGGGCCCAGGTCGAAGAGGCCGTCGAAGCCGCCTCCGCCGTGGACGGCGGCAAAGGCGCCCCTCACGCTGGGAGCATCCGGCTCCATGAGCAGGCCAGACACGCGGCCTGCGGCGGTGGCGAGCCTCGGTTAAGGGACCGACAATACTGCCAACCAAGGCCCCAACGCGTCACCACAACACGGCAAACCCGCCCCTGCCACGCCCAACCAATGCGTGTGCTGTTGGGTGAGTATCGGCCTCACCAGACGAGCGCATGCGCTTGGCATCTCCAATGCTCTGCAGGTCCAACGGCGCAACTGCTGGACCAAGGCCGGCTCGCCGCATGTCGCCGGACGGGCTCACAACCCCCTCACGCGCGTGTTGATGCTCTGACGCTGCCGCCCCCCCCGCCGCTGCCGCCGCCGCCGCCACCACGGCCGCTGTGGCCATAGCAATCGGCGCTTGCTGCTGCTCGTGCGCCTGCTGCCGCTGCTGCCGCCCCACGCCAACCCCCGCCCCACCCGTGAATTTCGGCGGTCCACCTGCCGCGGCCGCACCGCTGGTGGCGGCCGCCTGGTCTGGGGACGTGCCGCCGCCCATGTGGCCCGTGAGGGCGGCGAGCTCCCCCGACATGAGCATCTCGTTGAGGTCAGCGCTGCGCATGTTGTGCAGTGAGGTGCGCAGCACATCGATGTCGAAGCTGCCGTACGTCTGCGGCGGCAAGGGGCGCGCGGTGCGGGCGCGCGGTCAAGCTGAGTGGCGCGGGTTGCGGGGCGCCAGAATGCACCGGCACGCAGCATCACGGGTGCGCTGCAAAGCAGCCGGACAGGCGGGCGTTGGAGGAGGGGGCGCACGCCAGGACGGCGCAGCGTGCGCGGGCGCTGCGAGCGAGCACGTGTGCGCACCTGCAGCTGGTGCGAGCTGTGGCGCAGCAGCTGCCCCAGGCCGCCCGCGTCGTCCATCATGAGGGCCGCGTCCCCGCTCAGTCGCAGCGCGCCGCCCCGCCCCTGCGCGCCCGGCCGCCCCGCCCCCTCCGGCTGCTGCGCGCCGCCTGTCGTGCTGGACAGCCGCCGGCGGGTATGGCCGTGGGCGGCGTAGTAGGGGTGGAACGCGGACGCCTGCGGCGCGGCCGCTGCACAGCCGGCCTTGGCGTGGCCCTCTGGCGACCTACGCCCAGGGCGGCCGTTTGAAAGGAGGGGAGGGAGTGGGTTGCGATGCGATGCGATGGGACGCGTGCAAAGCAAGGCAAGGGCACAGCCAACGGCGACGCAATGAGGCATCAGGGGGGCAGCATGCCTGCTGCCCCCCTGACGAGGATCGCTGAGAGGGCACGCCACCTGTGCGCGCAACACCTGGCAGGATGGGGGGGCAGGGGCTGGGGGCGGCGGCCAAACTTGTTGTATGCAGGGGGAGGGGGGCATTACCTGGGTGCAGCTGGCAGGTCCAGCATCGAGCTCGGGGCCAGGGGCAGGACCGTCAAGGGCAGCGACCCCAGCAGCGCCGGCTGCTGCGGCCTGTGCTGCCCCGCGTGCGACGCGCACGCCTGCGGCGCCGCCTCGAACAGGGGAGGCAGCCCGTGAGGCTGGAACGTGTGGGGACCGGCGGGCGCTTCGTGCTGCGTCGGCTCCTGCTTCACGACTGGCTGGGCCCCCTGGTCCTGCTGCTGCTGGGGCTCGCCCGCCGACAGCTGGCTCACCGCAGCCTGCTCCGCGGCGGCGAGGGCGTCCTGCGGCCCCGGCCCGCCCTGCCCGGCGCCGCCCAGCATCGCAGCAGTGAGCGCGCCGCCGCCCGGGCCCATCACCAGCGGCCCCAGCAGCTGCGAGGCCCCGAGCGGCAGCAGCTGCGGCACGCCCGGCAGCATAACCGGCAGGACCGGGCAGCCCAGGGCCGCCGCCGCGGCCGCCTCCGCGCCGCAGGGTGGGTGCTCGGCGGCCTCGTGGGCCAGCTGGAACAGGCGCGGCGACATCAGCATCTGAGGCATGCCCGTGACGGCGGGCGCCGCGCAGGCGCCCAAGCCGTCGAGGCCATCCATGTCGCAGCAGCCGTCGTCGCTGATGCGCGCGGC